TGGGGTGAGGCGCGGGGCAGCCCTGCTGGCAGGGAGCGGCTGTGCCCTTGGTGGGGGCAGGCGGACGATAGAAACCAGCGCTGGGGTCTAACTGATCGCAGCAGCCCTCAGCGCAGGCAGGTGGCCCCTCTTCTTGCCCGTGCCAGCCACAGCGCATGCCGGGCCTCCTGGTTATCAGCTCCTTCTGCTCAAAGTGCTTCTCAGAAGAGAAAACGTCCGTCTGTCCGGCTGCGCTGTAACCCCCTTCCCCAGCACGATGCTCCCCGGGTCGTCCCCACAGCTTGAGAGCTTACATCCTGCAGGACAGGCTGGGCTCAGCCTTTCCCAGGGGAACACGGTGACCAGGGTGGGGGGGTGCATGCCGCTGCTGGCACTGGGGTTTTGGGGAGCGCTGACGTGGTCACGGTGATGGGCTTCGGCTCCCCTGGACAGCCCTGCCCAGAGCTCGGCAGCGGCTCTCGCCGTAGCTGAAGGCGCTTTCTTGTGCGCCAGGATCTCGTTCGAGTCTCCGGTTACTTGGGGGGAAAAACATTTCGGAAGAGGAGAAAACTCAGCTGCTCTGGGAGCGGGGAGCTGGGATGAACCAGGGGGGATTGCCAAAAGCTCCATCTGGTTTCCCTCTAATGATTTCGTGAGGAGGCTGGGAGAAGCCTACTGGGGAGAGGGATGCATGCAGGCAGGAGGGTGACCATCCTGCCCGTTGCGGGGCAAAGGTGCTGCCTTCCCCTGCCCACCCCGGGGCTTGGGGCTGAGTCCCGCTGTGGGCTGAGCAAGCCCCTGCTCCGCAGCCAGGAGCTCAGTGCTGCATCCCCCAGGGAGCATCCCTGTGCGGCTCAGCCGGGCTTGCACCGGCCCCGGGGAGCCGGAGGCAGCCGGGGCCCCCGGTTGCGTGTTTGCTGGAAGAGCCGCAGCCAGCTGCCGGGCCGGCCAGGGCAGTCGCTGACCTCGCAGCTCAGCAGGGACATTGCCATGGAAAGTTTGCAGCATCCCTGAAGCCGTGGCCGCTCCACGTGTGCTTTGTCTCGATTGTGTGAGCCGTTCCCCTGCGCCGCTGAGAGCCAAGTGCATGCCGGAGGCTTGGCAGGATCCATCCCTGGCGGTTCTGCCGGGGCCGCTGACGGCCCTGTCCCCCAGGGTGGTGCAGGGGGAGCGGGCTCAGCCCAAGCCGCAGCAGCAGGGGGATGCAGAGGAGGACGCTGTCGGTGAGCTGGCGTGGTTGGGGGCTTTGCAGAGCCACAGCTGTTTCTCCCATCAGCCGGCTCTTGCCAACTGCGCCACGTGGCACCAGGGACGCAGCCGGCGGGACTGGGATGTGGTGACAGGTCTGACCGAAAGCAGAAGCTCTTTCCGTTGAGTTTTCACTCTCATTTTGTCCGTGTGGGTTTTCCTGTGCCAGAAATTGCGCAACTGCTGCTGCTATGGGGCATCCTGCTGTGTTATTAATCCCTATTCCCCATTGCACAGCGCAGCCTTGTGCCAGAGGAGCTGCTGTGCCCAGGAGCCCCCGTTGCTCCCCGCAGCCGTCCCCTGCTGTGATGCTGATGCCTGCGTCTCCTTGGCAGGTACCACGACCAGCAGGACGTAACCAGCAACTTCCTGGGTGCCATGTGGCTCATCTCCATCACCTTCCTCTCCATCGGCTATGGTGACATGGTCCCGCACACCTACTGTGGGAAGGGTGTCTGCCTGCTCACCGGCATCATGGTAAGGGCCATGCTGAGCCGGTCGCCTGTCCCGCGGGCTCTGCCTGTCCCTGCCACAGCAGCAGGGCCACCAGATTTCACGGGGACCCCGTTTCCCAGCTGGCTTGTCCGCGCACAAGGTGTAATGGCTTTGGCTCCAAGGCCTTGCAGCCTGGAAGCTGGTAGAGCTGTAATTGCAATTACTGTAAGCACAGCAATTAGCAGGATGTGGCAGTTTGGTTAAGGAGGTGATGGTGCAGGCTGGGTGCATGCCTGGTGGGGGCTGCAGTCCTGCTGTCCGGGGGGCCCCCGGCGGGACCCCCAGCCGGTCCCCTGCCCCATGGTACCCGCTGGTGAATTTGGGGTGGATTTGGACCTGCATTCGGTGAGGGAGGGGGAGCTGGATGGGGGGGGGGTTGGGAATGTCCCCGGGGAGCAGAGGGGCCCCCGAGCATCCCTTGGCCATCCCCGCTCGCGCCACCTGGCTTCTATCGCCCAGAGCGATCCCAAATGCTGCTGGCTTCCCCCCCGACCCGGGGCCCGCGGGGCGCCCTCACTGGCCGCGCCCC